TAACTGGTGCTACCTATACTCATATTATTTCCCCTTAACATGCTGAATAAATAATATTAGAGTTCTAGTTAGATATAGTTAAATAATTTAATTTTCACTGCAGCCTTTTGCAGAACTTTTGTTTATTCACCGTTTCCATGGATATATCACTGCATAACTCATAAATGTTCAAACAAAAGTAAAACTTTTTTCTTTGTGACGCAATTCAAAGATATTGCCGTGTCCATGTTCCATCTAATTTGGTTGTGGATTTCCGGATTTGGTAGTTAGGGGGCATTTAGGTCAGAGCTGTTTGGTTCAGTCACACGCCTTCTTGCCTTGCTTTTGACGTCACATCAAATTCCACACTTTTCCGTACTGTGTGGTTGAAACCCTGTCATGTTTTTAAAAAATGTAAAATCAAAGTAAATATAACATTATTAAACATAAGTACCAACATTACCTTCTGAACTGTAGTGAAGTAGAAGTAAAATTGTACTTCAGCACTTGAAATTACATGTACAGTAAATGCAACACGTGTTAGCTTTAATAAATATGTAACATCCGGTTAGATTTTCAAAATAAAACAACTGGTTAACGTTGTCAAACATAGCAATTTGTTTAGGTTTTGACTTTTTTGATTTACACAGGAAACAAACACCTGTGTCCTGGGTGAAGGTCCAGTTTCTGGTCCACCAGTCTACCACCAACCACCTCAGTACTTTAACGTTATTTACTTCCTACACCTACTTTTAGCCTTCATAAATGCTATGACGCTAAGGGGTCTTGACCATGCGTCTATATTTGACGATTTGGGAGTGAGAATGTATGCTACTAATTACTAATAATTTGCAGCAAACACTTGGAGTTGAAAGACACAAACGTCTTAAATGTTGTCAACACCTTCATTATTCATTCTCGTGGTCTCTGTGCTGAGAAGCAGTACTTGAAGTGGGCCAGTATACCAGTACCACTCAAAGTAGAGAGAAGAGAAAGTGTCCAGGGTTTTTGACGGGAATACAAGGAACAAAGTGCAACCTTATCGGTGCCTTTGGTTGAAACACAGCAGTATGTGAATAAGGGGAGTACTGCTGACTACTGACGCATGAATACTGCAGCCTGGAGCCGAGCAGCTGGAGCGGCTCTTGACTTTCAGACCCGAATCACCACCGGTGTGGCAGGAACAGGTTGCGGCAGTCTGTCTGCAGAAACACAACAGGCTTCAGGCTCCACTTTGTCCTCTGCATGTCAGTGAGAGCTGCAGCAACGCAGCAGCAGGGGCGTCACCTGATGGCCGAGTGGCTGTTTGATGAAAAGAGCTATTCTGCAGTGAAGCACTCAGGTGATATTTTCTCCCAGAAATAAAACACACAAGTATTAAAAGTAATAATCAGGCAAGGAAGTGCAGTCAGAAACTTTAAAAATGCCAACAGTTAGATAACAGGAGGAAAGGTGCTAACATTTTTTGTTCATGTTCCACATAGTCAAATCAGAAGGAACAAGTTCCTCTGTCTTTTCTTATAGACAGTTTGTCTCATCTGTGTTTCTGACAGTAGTGGACGAAGTATTTAGATCCTTTACTTAAGTAAAAGTTCTAATATCACTCTGTTACAAGGAAAGGTCCTGCCTTTAAAATGTAATGGATAACAAAACACATTTTAAAGCCTTTTCTACGTTTTGTGTGCATAAATTTTATTTTGAAAAGTAAAGCTAGAATAAAGCTAGAAGTAGAAGGAGGCATGAAAAGACTAAAGTGAAGTAGGCTACAAGTACCTCAAATCAGTACTACAGTACAGCAGTTAGTACATTCTGGTTCTCTTTAATATCCTAGCAGTTTGTAATGAATGAATACATTTTTTTGTTAGGATTCAACTTCTCTAGCGCCCACAAGGCTTTGACAGTGTATCTGCGGCAAAGACTGTAGTTGACTGTAGTTGTTGAAGGCTAACAAACAAAACAACAAAACGGCTTTTACCAGCTTAAAGAAATATTAATATTTCACAGCCCATTACAGCAGAAGATCCTCATTTATCTTTAAAGATGAAGCAAAAACCACAGGAAGTGATGAAAGAGGACTACTTGGACAGAAGCTAACCTGGACTTTGTGTCTCTCTATACAATACAGCAGTGATGCATTGCGCAATGATAAGGATATAATTTGTCCAGCCAGCTGTCACTAGCACTATTTTTTATTTATTTATTTTACATAAAATGCTTTTTCACAAATTTGTTTGTTTTCTCACTTGGTCAGAACAAATAAATACTTTTAAGTAAAACAAGCTCAAATCACTAAATTACCACAACCAAGAGGAAATACTTAACTCTTAAAATAGTCAGATCACCAAATTGCAAAAAAAGAGTACATAGTTTGATTCAGTATCTGCAGAGCGTTTCCTTAAACTGGCAGTGTATATTAACTGGACTGGACTAACACACTAACTGGCTCTATGGATCAATGCGAACATAAAACTTAAAGCAAGTTGGTGCAAAGAGTAGTTCAGAAAATAAACCCCACCTTGACCCTTACAGGGTGTGGTACATCTTGTTGCCTGCAGGTCGTAATGTTGCTTCATAATAGTTTTGAAAGCTCATAAAATTCAGTTTGCAGACCACCTCTCCTTTTTCTTATGCTGCTTTTCTTGCACCTGCACCTGAAACAGGTTGGCTTGTCAATAAACATTCTACTTATCAACCACCACCAGACCGTTTAAAGGAGCATCAGCAACTTCCCGAAGCGAAAGAGAGAAGCAGTGATGGGAAGTAAGATTCCACAAAAGTCCACAGCTTGTTTTTTTTCATTACAGCCCAGAAACAAAATCACTAAATGGAGAATGAAAAAAGGCTTCAATAATCTCAAATGCTTAAAACTAATGGAGCTAAAAAAGTTTGTTCCCAGGGTGGTGCCAGAAGACATTGATACCTAAATCTAGTGTTTATCCTCTGTACGGTGGCCATTTTAAGACATCTCAGCTCTACATCGTTGTGAGAACAATGATTTGTGTTGACTTACCATGCTAACAGAGAACACGTTAAGATGCATTTTAGCAACTACTGGGTGCTTATGTTTGATATTTGCATGCTGAAATTACATGCACATTTTAATTTGTAATCTTTTGTAGCTTGCTGAAACACCTTGCTCCCTTTGGTGTAAAAAGTCAAGTCGGCAATTTTACAAAACATGCACAGAGATTGATTTAATGTACGTCTTGTTACACCTTATAAGATATCTGTAACACATGTATTATCTCAGTCATACTAAATCAGTTTAATAAACTAGATAACACTGTGAAATTTGAAGTTGAGGAGATCCAAATTCTCATATCTACGGAAGCCCTAAGCTCAAAGTTCAAAGAGATAAACCATAGCTGAATACAGGGGTTTTCTGGTGGATAACTGCAGAATACTTCCTCGTGTGACCGGTTAGCTCAGTTAATAGAGGACAGGACTTAAAGTCTAAAGATTGTGTATTTGACTCCTGCTCTCAGCTATTTTTTTTTCTTCTTTTGTGTGTTTTTATTATTCTCTTCACCAAAGTTGTTATGAACAGATTCAGGAGAATCCAATCACACATTTCCTGACGGCTAATAGCCATCAGGTGCGCATTGATTTTATTCATCATGTGTAAAGTTTAGTTGCGCCAGTCACTCATGCAACAGCTGTCTTTTTATACTGCCCTATGTTGCTTTAATGTTTTATGAATCTCCTTGTTGTTGAAATGTGCTATAAAAATGTGCTTGTCCTTAATATTACTATTCTGCTGCTTGAACTCAAACAAATGATCATTTATCCAAAGTGCACGCCTCTGTGTGAGGGTCAGAGGAAACATTCAATCCAGTCAAGTAAACAGGTGACAGCATTTCAGTGATAGATTGTTAGATCCAAAAGAATGAAAGGTAATTTCAACTGTGATGAAACTGCATTTGTCACATAAATTACAAAAACACAGCAGGCAGTTCATCCTCAATGAAAAATATGGAAAATATGGATAATTGATAAATGGTACAGATAATAAAAATGGCATTTAAGAAAAAACAAATGATTTCAATTTGAATATATCAAATTATTTGACACTTCTATTTTCACCCATACCCCATGTTTAATATGTGATCTGCAAATTATTATTATTTGTTGGTGAAGTTGCTCTTTTTCATGGGTTGCAGGTGCCATGTGGAGTTGACATTCAGTGCTCCTTACCACAACACATTGTGTGTATCTTTAACGTCTAACAAATGTGTCAGGTGTATTTCCCTCCTAATAAAAGCTGCAGTCTTCTTTTTTTCTTCTTTTGCTGGCACATTTCTTGATGTGTTACCGCCTCCTGTAATTCAGTGCAAGGTGTGACACTGTTGGCAGGACTGGGTAACGAATCACCTGCCTGAACACGTGCACGTGTGTACTTGTGTGCAACAAAACAGGGTCCCTATGGCAAGCCGTTTGGCATTTATTTTTTATAACTTACCAGTCGCTCTTGTTATTTACTAATACTTATTCATTAATTACTAGTACTTATTTGAATAGTTACAGTCATCATTTCTATCATTATCTATTATTTCGATACTAGTAAGTTACTAGTAACTATTCCAAAAGATACTAGAACATTTGAATTCTTACTAGTAAATTTTCTTTGAGTACTAGCCATTCATTAATAACCAGTAAAATGGCTTGTTGATAGTAACATTTAAATGTTGTTACTAGTAACTATTCAATTACTTACTAGTAACTAATAAATAGGTACTAGTATCTAAATAATAGACACTAGTAAAATGGAAATGTTACTAATAACTAATGAATAGGTGATATCTGAACTGTAGAGCCCCTTTGATTTCAATGGCAAAAATGCAATTAATGACAAGATACTTTTATTACTAATCAATTGCTACTTGTAAAATGGGAATAGTTACTACTAAGTAATAAATAAGTATTAGTAGCTTTTAAATAGTGACTAGTAAGTTTGAAATGATAAATGTGAAAACGGCTTGCCATAGCAACCCACTTAAAGAAAAACTCCTCCATAGCGCTACTAGGGGTCGAACCTTTAATATTTCTAAATGCAAAAACACTACAAAGTTAGAAAACAGCAATTGCTTCTTGTTCTTTTAAAGTAATATTACATGAATGCATCAGCAGAAAAACTTCATTCACATAAAATGTATCTGAACTAAAATACAGCAGACTCACAAGTGCAACTACATCCTCTACACTCTTGTTATTTCTCTTCTTCGTCGTCCTCACTATCGCTGTCCTCCAACAGCCGGAGAGCCAGCCGCTGCGCCACAGCAGTTACCATGGCAGCGCCCTTCCCGCTGCCGTCCTCCGAGACGAGGAAGGTGATGTCACACTCGGGAGCGAGGAGGCGCACCATCGCCTGGAGCTTCATGCTGAAACTACAGGGAGGGAGGGAGAGAGACAAGAGAGAGTACTGAGTGCAGTGCTCATCATCATATCATGAAGAAATGTTTTAGATTTTTTTATTTGATTATATATTAAATCTAAAAATTAAAATGTCACGTCAGAGTTCATGTACTGAGACAAAGAAATGCAGTTTAAGTGCCAGAGTAATGCACGTGTGTAGTGGTATATAAATAAACAGTAAAAGGTAAATATTTACAGTAATTTAAATGCTGAAGGACAGAGAAGTGACAAACAGCAATTCACAAGTGTGTTAATGTGTCAACACCCAGCGCCTCCTGCCAGACAAATAAATATGATTTACATCTCCCCAAAACTGAGAAGAGGAAAAAACAACGCAACACTTCCTCCTGGTTCATCTGCAAATCAGCTGTTTCGTCACTGGCACAATGATAGATGACCAAAAAATAAAAATGCTGTTTGCTTTACTTGCTTTCGAAAACATAACACTTACAGAAGAGAACCAAACCCAATGTCATTTTCAGTAGATCCGAGATAACCGTTGCCATTTTAAGGTTAAAATAAAGACAAAAGTCAAAACAAAAGTGCCTACTGAAGAACGACATCCCTTCTCTCTTTCATCAAATAAAACTTATGAATGAATGATGGTAAAATTATATTCTGTCCTATCAGAGGTCAGAAGCAGAGCAACAACACAACAGGATCGTCATTTATAAACAGAGTACATGAGCATAAAATATGTCTTCATAGCCGATGTTAGACTTGTTGATTAATTGTACTTTAGTTAGTGGTGGACAGTAACTAAGTACTTTTAGTCAAGTACTGTACTTAAGTACAAATTAGGTCTGTTTGTTTTCTTTTCATGCAGTTGGATACTAAAGTGTTCAAAATGAGCTCTCAACAACTACGAAAGTAATTTTACATGAATGCATGAGTACTAATAATTTCATGATATAATATATAGTAATAGTAGTATAACAGTCCCAGTGGACATTTTTCTGTATTGAGTACTTTTACTTTTAATACTTTAAGTACATTTTCCCGATTGTACTTAAATACTTTTACTTAAAGGTTCAGTGTGTAAGTTTTAGTGGCATCTAGTGGTGATGGTTGTGAATTACAACCAGCGGCTCACGGTGCATTCAGGTGCTCCTGGGATGGTTTCATTTGTTGCGTTGTTCATGTGCTCTTAAGTCGGAATGTGGAATCAACATGGACGCTACTACAAAGATGTGTTGGATTATCATTATCAGAGTGTATAAACAACACACAGACGTCCAGTTCACTCTACATGGACAGCAAACTAACCGTTATAACCATATTACAGATCACAAAGTTCTGTGTACTTCATGTCTCGTGTAGACTTTATTTCTCTTTTAGCAATAAAGATTTGAGGAGGAATAAAAGATTTTAAAGAAGCTCATATATATGGGCTTTTTACAGTTCATTCTCATCTTTTGCCTGTATTTCCCTCATTTTCCTTCTTACTTGGGGTGTTTCCTGTAGACCGTCCCGTCCACCCCCACAGTGGTCTTCAGGCGGTCCAGCCTGCGGTTACACCGGATACGGTTGGCGATGGTGGCAAGAGCAGCGGCGCAGAGATGGGCGGAGCGTGAGGACACGGCGTCGCAGACCAGACGCACCACATGGGAGTCGACCAAATCCCATTTCAAACCCAACTGCGTCAGAATATTCTGGGTGTTTTTCAGACCGTTGTCCAGCCTGAGACACGGACAGGAAATAAAGACCACATGGAGGACCAAAGGATTAAACAAAATGGTCAAATGATACAAAGCAAACGTTTAAAAGACACTGATCTATCGGCCATATGCGTTTCAACAGTCTACACAGGAAGTGGGAATGTGTCGTATTGTGCACATTGACATCTGCTGCTTGTGATCACCTGGACCTGCATTTGTTGTTAGTTTTATAATCTAATGTACAGCTGACGGTCTGAGAGAGCTGGATGAGTTCACAGCTCTGGAACCAGCTGCTTATCTTAATGTCACGGTTTTATTATGGGTTTACAGTAGGGCTGATCAATTAATCCACATGTTATCAAAATCGCAAAATGACCTACTGCAATTTCAACTCACAGGAGGCACGCAGTATTTGTTGAAGGTGATATGTGTGTCAAAATGCCATTTTAAATTAAATATTGTCGTCCTGGTCAACACATCATATCCTAGAGAGACTTAAGAAAATATCTTTGTTTGCTACATTTTCTGATCTTCTGCTTCGTTATGAACCATCTAGACCTCTCAGGTCGTCTGGGATCAGGTCTGCTTTCGGTCCTCAGAAAACTAAACAAGGAGAAGCAGCGTTCAGTTCTTTTAAATCAAGACTGAAGACTTTTAACTTTCATTAAATAATAAAGTAGATTGCACTGTAACTTTTACTGTCCTGTATCCTGCTTTATTTTCAAATTAACTCTATAAAAATTGTGTTGTTTTTATTTCTTTATTTACTTTTTTCATTTCCCCATAATGCTTTAATGATTTATGTAAAGCACTTTGAATTGCCTTGTTTTTGAAATGTGTTATACAAATAAACTTGCCTTGACTTGCCTTATATATCTTGCCACAATCAAATGTTTTTCAATGAAAATGAGAATAATGATAAATAATCATTTGTTCAAAACGTGTAATCTACTCTGTAAAGGAGTGGAGACTACTTTAGTTACACTGTTATACAGTCTATTATAATACCTCCAGCACAGTACAGCGACTCACAGCAGGTCTGAGCTTTTCTATTGTTTCGTGAACACTTTGAGGTGTTTGAGAGTTTTTTCAAGTAAATCAAAGTAACCAAAAATGTCAGGGAACCGTTAAATCCAGTCAGCTAGAGCTAGAGCTTGTTAGAGTTAGAGTTAAATGCACTGCCACTTTTCAGTGACACAGTATGATAAGACGCCTGATCTATGCACTAAAATAACTCCCAGGTTTATCCGCTAAGACTCTGAGCTACACTGCAAAGTGACGGCTGTTGTATGCTGGTCATGTCTTTCGCCCACATGCTGCCTCTCTCCCTCTTCATGTCCTTGCAGTTTTCATGCTATACTTCTGTGTTCTTCACTGTAGCTACTTTGACAAACAGTATGTTGGTGTTCAAGTCTGCTTTGTTAACTGTTGTTATTGAGTATTAGATGTACAGCAAATGATCATTCAAATTAATGTAAAAAATGTAAATGTCGCATAGCTTTTAGTACAAGACGCCATTATATAGACGGACTTTCTCTTAGCACCCCCTTTCAGCTCTGACTGACCTCCAGCATCCCTGACTTAAAAGCTTAATACGTGAAAATGTTGAGTTTGCACTGACGACTGCAACAACAACAACAACAAATGAACACAAGAAACAAATAAAAAATAAAGGCCTGGTTCTATCTTGAAGAGGGGTAAAGAAAGGCTCTAGGCGATTAAAAATGTCATTAGAACCAACCAAAAAGTTTAAAACAGTTGCATTTCCATTTAAGGAAAGTGCTGAACTGTATCACTTTTCAGCCTCAGATTAGAAAGTTCACGATTCCAAACCACAGTATCGAAGCCTTCTGACGAAAGGCGGATGATTGATTTAAGAAACCTGTGTTGGACACTCACTCTTCAATCTCAGAGATGAACTTTGTCTCAAATTTCCCCGGAGTCAGCAGCGCCTCTGAGGTCTGTCCCTCAAACAGCACGTTGTCCTCCGTCATCCTCACCAGCAGCAGCCGCACGATTTCTCCCAAATACATGCCGCTAATCATCTTCTCAAAGCTGCAGGAGGAAAAAAGCACAGGATTAAACAGCACGGAAAGAGGCAAAACCATCAAAAACAGTAATTCTAGCTTGCAGAATACGGGATATTCTGCTGGTCAGTATGTTTGTGTAACAGTGTTACTTAACACCAAAGATTCAAAATGACACAAAAATACTAAGCGATCGAGGCAGTGGTAGACCAGAGAGGTAAAATTACTGTTTTTATCAAGGGAGTCTGGTGGCTTTGATGAGAGCGATATATAGCAACGGTTTCTGGTTAAACAAAAAGGATCTTACTCTTTAAAAAAAGGCCTCTCTCTGTAGGGATCCTTTCCATAAAGTTGTCAGACACTTGTAATAACAATCTGAGCCTGTCAGCGGCAAAAAGAAACACTTTAGTGCATTTACATTTACTCATTTAGCCGAGCGCTTTTAACTAAAGCGACTTGCGTATATACAGGTCGCACGCCTCTGGAGCAACTAGGGGTTAAGTGTCTTGCTCAGGCACACATTGGTGGATGTGTCGCAGTGGGAATTGAACCCTGGTTTCCCAAACCAATGGCATGAGTCTTATCCACTGTTCAATCGCTGTGCGGAGTACAACGCTCAGTAATGGAAAAATTTCAAAATACTTTGCTCTCATTGCTCAATAAGACACAAAAACACGGTGGGAAATAGGATCCAGGGTGAAAAATACCCAAGTTATCCTTTAAGTCATAAACACCAGAGAGAAAAGTATTTCAGACCTCTCAGGGCTTCTGTACATTCCCATCAGCCATGGTAAACATTGTTGACCTGCTAAACAAGCTCAACATGTTGGCTTTGTCATTGTGAGCAAGTAAGATTAACAGAGCTGCTAGCATGGCTGCGGAAGGAAAATGCACATGACATTTCTGAAACCAACCAATCCTAAAAAAAAGGATTTGAGAAGCTGGAAGCAGAGAATATCTGGAATATCTATTCCTGACAAATGACTTAAATGGTGGATATCAAAGTCCTCCTTATAGGCAGGTTCGGCCACTCGACAGCCATCTTGGTAACGCCTCTGGGCAGATATTTTGGACTAACCAAGACCAGGGCCGGTATTTATTAAGCTTCTCAAAGTGCCATTTTAGTGCTGACAATTCATGAAATTTACTCCTACTTTTAAACTTAAGAATGAAAGCAAGTTATCAAAGTTCTCAAAGCTAGGAATCTCTCTTATTCTCCCAGTTATTTAAGACAGCTCGAGAGCTGTGGAGACATGCACCTTTCAGGAGAGGAAGAATGTTTCTGAATTATTTGACAATGCGCAGTCAATAAGACGGGGTCGGACAGCTCAGGCATAAACTTTGTCAGTGAGTTGGAGAGGGACGTCATCTCACCACTGACTTTACGCAGTAAAGCGTTTCCAGTTAAATTGAAGGTGGAGATGACGCTTCGTTTATTTGCCACAGAACAAACGCAGCAATACTGATGATTTTGGACCCTCACAACCATCAATAAGCCGAATAGTCATGGAAACAATTATAGCACTTACAGCTCGACTGTCACGCTTTTAATCGACTTTCCAACAAACCCCCCGGAAATCCGACAGAAGCAAACACAGTTCATGCAAATAGCCAGCAATACAGGAGTAGTAGGCACCTTTGATGGCGCTCATATGAAGATAAACTTTATCTTTAATTTCTTAATGTGTGGGCCTATATCATAATGTATTATCTTGAAAAAAAGTGTAAACTCCTCTTAAGAATTTCACCATTCAATGTTAAATTATCTGAGAATATTCTTAAAGGAGGAAATCTAATCAGTGATTGGTCCTTGGCGACATCGTCATCCAAAATCCTGTTTGTGTTACAGCAAAGTGTTGTAAGATTGACACTTTAGATTTAGTCCTACACTTCACTCAAATTAGGAGAAAGAATTTTTTTACTCTTAAGTCAGTTCTTATGAGTAATTCTGAGAAGCTTGATAAACACGGGCCCTGACCTCTATCTATCTAAATGAATGGGGGGAGAACCATAATGCACTTTCATTTTGTCATGAATAATAATAATAATAATAATTTTAATATGTAATGCACTTTATATTTAAGCAAACCCCAAACGTGCTACATGATAAAACAGGTAAGTGCTAAAAATAAAACAAAGGACAAGGGCAAGAGTTCAATCAAATGCTCTCTATAAAAACTACATATATAGAATCACCAAGAAAATCTGATGAATACTGCTGAAAAAGTTAAATGACTTTGCCCCAAAATAAGGTTTAATAAGCATTTCCCCCCACCGGCTATACTTCTACTACGCATGCGAAGTAGACCCTTATGTCAGTAGAATCACACGAGCGGCTTAATATGTTTCACGGCATTTAAAAGCAAAAACAACTGGCTTTCTAGTGGGAGGGGGTTCATTCTTTAACCGCCGTGTCTCCTCTTAAAAGTCTCTGTCCATATAGAGTATTATTAAAAGTGAAACTTTCTGCTGACCGCCTGATAGTTTCAACTCTAAAAACACCTATGATGAGCGATCGTCATTCTTACATGTGGATGCCGGGATTGATGGACGTCTTGTCCACCTCCACGTCAAACTCCGTCAGGATGTCTTCCAGGGAGCCGTCATCTCCGAAGCCGCCCCACTCAGTGTTGATGCACATCCGTCCGTCCTCGCCCTCCACACGCTTTATGTTCTTCATCTCCTCCATGTAGCAGGCGTTGGTTCCCGTACCTAAAGAGGAAGAGAAGCAAGAAGATTAAATCTAAATTGCTGCTTGTTCTTTGGTACCATCTAGGCCCGGGGTTGTGATCTGAACACAAATAAGTTCAAAAAGCTCTGTCCTAAGGCATTGATTAGTCTCTCACATGTAAGCTATTCTATGTGATCTCATTTTGATAACTAATGCAATAATTAATGTTATATTGTTTCGCTTCCATTCACTGAGCCGCCCCTGAAACTGTTTGGAGCCCCCCTGGGGAGGCCCACCTCACACACTTTGAAACCCCCTGCTTTAGACAATTATTATTCTAACAAACAAAACTAATCATAAATCAACTAATAAATTATAAACATATTATTATTATAGATTAAGCTACACAGCAGCATATAAAATGAGCTGCACGTTTTCCAGCTGCAACATTAAAGTGATGCATCAATAATTAAAATCCAGTGATAAAATATATATTATTCTGAAATGTGCCATTCTACACAATGAGTACTTTTGGCAGTACTGCATGTTTGGAAAGTATTTCTGCACTGTGGTATTGCTACTATTACTAAAATATCTGCGTACCTCTTCCATGTGTACATATGTAAAATAAAATCACATATTTTCCATCCAGCAAAAACCCTGATGGGCAGAGTCAGATTCATATAAGTTTTATCTGAAGTTGTTTTATGTGTTAAAATGTTACCGATGATCATGCCGATCTCACAGCTCTGGTCCTTGTAGCCGCAGCTCATCATCGTGCCCACTGTGTCGTTCACCATAGCAACTGAGCCTATATCATAATCCTGCAGAGGGACAGCAATACACGATTGTTTATATCCTTCCTATTTACAATCTGTATACAACATAAGCTGCCTACACGCACACACTGAGTGACACATTGCTTTTAATGAGGGCCTAAAGTTCAAGTTTCTCTTACTACAATATTAACAAACAATTAACAATTATTAATTTATGTCGTCAATCTATATATTTATGTACACAATATTCTCTCTCTCTCGGTGGAGGCAGATGGCCGCCCACCCTGAGCCGTGGTTCTGCTCGAGGTTTCTGCCTCTTAAAAGGAAGTTTTTTACTTGCCTCTGTCGCCTAGTGCTGCTCTTGGTGGGATCTGTCGGGTTTCTGTAAATAATATCACGGTCTAGACCTGCTCATTTATGAAAAGTGCAATGACATAACTGTTGTTGTGATCTGGCGCTACATAAAAAAACTGATATATATAAATGAACTGAATTGAATTGTTCTGCCCCCGCGGCTCTTCTCCCTCTTTGCCAGTGATTTCAGATCAACATCACTAAACATCACGACTCCCCAAGAGGGTTTCTATAATTTTAGGTGGTTCTAATTATGCTAATTTGTGTTTAAGTGTTATTTTTTTTCTGATGGGTTTGGTTGTAACTTGATATTTGTGGCTATAAAAAGGGGGAGTTTTCATAGTGGAGCATTTAGCAGAGCCAGATATTTCCCTTAGGATTTGAAACAGAGCAAACAGAGACTGCAAATGAAGGATAATGCTGCTAAAAGGTGATGACATGTCAATGCTGTGTTCACAAGTTGTTTCCACTGCCACCAAGTGGCCCCCCAAAATATCTGTTATTTGCAAATTTAGCAAAAGTACAGCAGTCGTACCTGAAGTATCAAAAGTACTGGCTCTGTGAAATCATATACTATATTACTGGATTATCATCACAGAGTACGCAGCATTTTATTGTTGTTCCTTTGGCCAAGGTTGAACTGATTTGAACCATTTTATTTTGCAAAGATTAGCAGCTTCCCCCCTGTAACCGCTAAGCCTAAGCTTAAAGCAGCTGAGGGCTACACAGAGCTTACCGTGGTCGCTTTGTTTGGTTTAGAAAGAGTGCAACAAGAGTTCAACTTCTGCTTTCTTCTCTGTCATGAGAGATATGATTTATTGTTGCACATATGGTCTTCAACATCTATAATGGTACAATATTCCATCTCCATCGACAGTTTCCTAATATCAAACAAATAGCCACAGCTGCCGCATCGGTGGCGGTCAAAAACCAGTTGGCTTTGCCCCTCTGGCAACACCTGTGTCTGATTGCACTTGCCCTCCTAAGTAGATTAGCCCCAATTAGCTATGCCATAACTCTAGCACCACCTACAGGCCAAACCTGGACATAAAACATTGAAATGGCTCCTACAACCCCAAATACCCAAAAGCTCCAGTTCAGCTGTGTGGCAAGAAGTGCTTTGTGGTAATTTGAGTGGTTGCACATTTGTTTAGCACCACTGATGTACAGTCTAAACTAAAATAAAGGCCAAGCAACAATATAGGCGACGTTTGGAGTGAAGGACATGACTGACTGTCTCTGCCAGGACATGTATGATCCACACCCGTACCCTGGGGGGAGTATTCAGAGGTGCATTCTGGGAAACAAAAACAGGGTGAGCTGCACGCTAATGTGCCGTTTGGGTTTATTGCATTCTTCTTACAATGATCTGTTGTTCGTGTTTTCAGCTGAACTTATAAATGACTGTACATGACTAGAGCTGCAACTAATGATTCATTTCATTATCGACTAATCTACCAATCACTTTCTTCAAGGTGCACATTCAAGTAGCTTGTTTTGTTTGGCTTCTAGTTTCTAATACATTTGACTGACATCATGTAGTGTTTTTAGACTGACCCCTCTCCTGTGAATGGCCTCTTTCAGTAACTTCACCACATCTTTTCCCTCAACGCCGGAGCAGTTGAAGCCTTTGGTCCAGCGGATCAAGATGCTCTGTGTAGAGAGAACATTTTTATTTGTAATTTAATACAAAAGACGAAAATGTTTTAAAAGAACAAGCTGTTAATTTTCTTATAAAAATACCCACAGAACAATGGGCCTCGTGCATGAACATGTTCGCACTCTAATCTTAAACGGTTCTGTGAGGTTTGCAAGTGTTTCAAGTCAAACTCTAACTTGTCTACTGCCATGTAAGGCTGTTCCTGTTCTGCTCCGTTTGTTTGAAGAATTTCACACTGCAGAGCTCCAAATCCTGCTGTCAGAAATCAGCTGACAAAAGGAAAACAAGTTCAGCAGTGTTAAGTCGTATTAGAGAACCTGAAAGAATGAGCAAATATTACAGCTATCAATGACGTATCATCAGAGCAGGGCTGCCCTGTGACTGAAATAAGTTTATTAAAGTTCACTTTGACCTGAAGTTAGATGCTAACAAACATCTTTCTACAACAAATAAGACAAACCCTAACTATTGGATTAGTTACTACTACTACTACTACTACTAATAATAATAATGTACACTAGTAAAACTGGAAGGTTTACTAGTCACTATAGTTAGTAACTAGTAACTAATGGAATAGTTACTACTAATAATAACAGACACTAGTAAAACAGAAATGTTTATTGGTAACTATTCAAATAGTTTCTGAAATGCACATATTAGGAAAAAATCTGCAAATAATTACTAATAAAAATAATTACCTATTTTTTTAGTTACTATTCCATTATTTACTAGTAACTAAAAAAAACAGTTACTAGTAATTATTTACTAGTAACTAATGGATTAGTAAAAAGTACTAATAGTACTTTAAATAGCGACTAGAAATATGGCAAAAAAAAAAAAATTAAATCATAAAAAAACAAAAGAAAATTGTCAGCCATGATGATGATCAACATAATGTTAATTTCGTCTGTTTTAGTTAATTTCTGTGTCATGCTTAAGCTCCAATTTCATTCAGATTAAGGCATTATAAGTCTGGACCAGTCGTAAAATACGTTTGCACCTAAAACTTGTGAATACAACAAATTCTTGTAAATCTCTCAGGCCCACTGAGGACAGGGTGTCCTGACACGAGCTGCAGACAGACGCTGATTCTCTGTCCCATCATGGACACTTTTCTTGTGCGACAAAAAGACAAAAGTAAAAGTAGTGTGTAAAATTTTGGAGGGAAATTAATTGTGCGGCAGTGTGCGTGAGACCTTGTCAATTTCTTTCTGTTCGCAGGGGAAGGAGAAGGTGAAGCCCAGAGGAAGAGTTTTTCCCTTCAGATCCTGAGAGACGAGGAAATCACCGAGACAGGCCGCAATGTGGTCGAACAGCTGGACAGACAGAAAGGCAGATTTCTAAATATGAACATCTCAATATACAGTGTATACACACAAAACATTTGTTAAACCTCACTGATACACACTGGGTTTTAGTGAGTAACACTGAATGTAAACTTAACTTTTGTTTGTTTACATGATACTGCCACAGGAGTTATTATAAGATGGTGGATAAAGTATTCAGATTTTATCTAAGTACAAGTACTAATACCCCAAAGTAAAAATACACTCTTTTAAGTAAAGTGCTACTTAAAATTATATAGAAATATGTATAATCAGGAAAATGGACTTAAAGGATTGAACATAAAAGTAATCAATGCAGAAAATTATCCTGTGACTGTTGTACTATTTTATATTATGCAATTATGTATTTAGGGCAGCGTCAAGCTTTCTAAATACCACGGCGTGGTGATGGCGTAATGGATAAGACCCGTGCCTTTGGTGTGAGCGACCTGGGTTCAACTCCCCACTGTGATACATCCATTGTTAACCCCTCGTTGCTCCAGAGGCGTGCGACCTCTGACATGTATAGCAATTGTAAGTCGCTTTGGATAAAAGGTACTATTATACTAAACTATTTAAGTGTTTATCGTTGCGTTTCATCTGTCCCGCACAGTAAGGACGGAAGAAACCTGCGCACCTTCCGTTCAAAGTGAAATTATACTGAAGTCGTTCCACATTTTAACAAGATGACACCTGCTATTGACAGAACACACGTGAGTTGTTGATGACAACAAGAAATTATTTCTGTCTGTAACGTTATATTTTAAAATGACGTATATCTGAAAAGTGTTTCAATCATCCCGGCTGTTCCCTACTTGTATGCACTATTGGGAAATATAATTTAAACAAACTATCACGTTTTTTAAAATTCTTCATATGTTTGTGTGTAAAAATCTTAATTTGTAAAATAACTGAAACTGGATACCTAAATATAGTGACGTAAAAAAGTAAAATATTTCCCTCTGAGATGTGGAGGAGCAGAGGTAGAAATTGGCATGAAAAGAAATACTCAAGTAAAGTACAA